ATTTAGACTATTTCTATTTATACTCCTGTGTTTGAAATACAGATGTATTAATAACTCAAAATTTTGCTTATGAAACCGCTTTTCAAGTTCTAACAAAAACATTTTTTGCAAAATTTTAGCATGAACTATAGCTTCTTCCAATTCCAAAGCTACTCTAATCTTAAATCGGGTTTAATTTTGGACAATAATTTATATATTACGCAGATTTGCAAATCAATTAATACCTCGTGTATCTACACATAGTGTATAAATAATTTTTTCTAATTTTTAAAATCATTTTAAAACATTATTTCACAAGTTGAGACAAAGTTGGATTTCAATTTTTCAAAATTTTATTAAAACAACCTTTTTACTTTTTTTGATATATCTTTACAAGCTAAAAATCGAGCGATGGTTTAGAAGAAAGCCAAAAAAGCTTGGGAAGGTCGAAATATGCAACACTATATACATGTATATATACGTTGAAAGGGTTAAATAGCTTTTGAACCAATATGGGTCAGTATACAAACAACTACCTAAAACAACTCCATCGAGGCATAAGTAGATTGATCAGAGTAATTAATGTTCTGGATTAGAGCTCTAGATTACATCACGAGGCTAATTCAAATACTAACTAGACTTTTACTATCAGGGATTATTAAAACTAAACACTTAAATTAACTGTTAGAATATGTTTTTACTTTTTCTGGACTTTCTCAAGCTTCCTTCGTTTAAATAGTTTTTGCACTATTAATATATATTATGAATATATTCACTATATTAACAGATTGACTATCTTACCCTATTTATTATACTTGGTACGATGCTATGCGTATAATTGACCATTTTTTCATATCGTATAATTAAGCAAAAAAAAAGTATTCAGGTCGTGTGGCTCAAATATGTTTAGTAGATGTATTTTTTAAGGTGCGATAGAGAGGAATTGCGGAAAGTTCAGATGCAGAAAATGAACGAACTTAAAATACGAGCAAGGTTAAGGCAATTTTTTGGATCAATATTCATAATACTATAACAATCGCATAATTTAAATAATTTTACTTTCGCATTCATCGCATAATTGACCTTGGTCAAATCGTATAATTTATCCCCATCGCATCGCATAATTCTGGACACCATAATGCTCATTATAATTACTATACTCGCTATATCGGCTACATTTATTAGTGCTGCGATATATTGACTATTTTGGCGAGTTCAGCAATCTCTTTAAATTATAGAAATGACTAGAAAAACTAGTCATGTATGGCCGATTACTGCCTTTGTGTCTAGAGATAGAAATCAATTCTATAGTTGTTAGGCAAAACTATTTCGCATAGTGATAAGAGACGAAACCCAAAACTGAAAAATGGTAAAAGACAAAATCATAGTAAAACCTCAAATTATCTTGCTGAAAGATGAAACTTGAATCAAAAATAACGAAAAGCGAAACATGAAGCCTTGATAAAAGTTAAAGTTTGATGAAAATCTAAAGAGACAAAAGGCTAAACTATAATTAGTAAGTTATTCTCACGATACAAAATAAGGCTTTGAATTTCACTACCAACTGTTAAGAATATAGTCTATAGTAATTAGTTGTAAAGTTGCAGATGGGAAAATCGACTCTCAATAATTATTTCAAAAATTTTAAGATCGATTATAATTGTTAGGTAAAAGATAAACCAAATTTTGCCTTTTACTAAAAGCAAAATGATGAAACTGTGAAAAATGGCAAAGGTAGAAATGATGAAACTATCAAAAGATTATGAAACCAGATAATAAACTCCTCTGTAATAAATAAATAATGTATCTTGTAAATACAGTAATATTTCCAAATACCTGATTTATCATCATATCTATATCGTGGGCTTAGATACGTATCATGATTTACAAACATTTATGTCCATAGAATGGTAATTATTAATTAATTCTGTAATTATAGTGCCCCTTCTTATTTGTCAGTTTTAGTTTAATGGGTAAGAATAATCATTTTGCCAACTCGGGTGAGTATACATGAGGTCGTTAATTTATTAATATACTTAAGTTCACTAATTTGTACCATTATACAGTATTTTATCTTATTAGATTAACAAGTAGGAATTATTTTAATTGACAGATTATAATAATGATAATATTAGAAAAAAGAGGGTTATATTGTCGTGCTTGAAGTTAGCATCTGCTTGAAGTTGTAACTTCAAGCGCCTGAAGTTGAAATTGCCCAAAATTACTAACTAACGCAGGCAAGGAATATCTAATTTCAGGGGTTAATTTTAGTTAGTGTGCCTAAATTGGTAACTTCAAGCAGATGTAAACATCAAGCACGACAGTAAGGCCACGATTGAGGCGTGGAAAGACTTGGTCCGAGTAACCAGGGTTATTTTGGGTTTACAGCGATAGTGTCGAGTTCAGATGAGTATTTCCTTCTTTAGTTTGGTGATTTAGTCGCTTCTGTTGTCTCTTTACTAACACTTTACTTTCTTTGACGCTTTCGTTAATTAGAATTTTCTCTTTTCGAAGATGCTGCGGCTGGGGTCCCGTGATCGAAGATAGCCAATCGGAAATGTGGTACAAGGTCACGGTATCACAGGGTTACTGATCAGGGACAATGACGTTGATCACCAACCAAATCAGGGGCGATTTTAATATATAAGGACTTGTATTACTAATACAATGTCTCTTTCTTACTATTGTTACTATTGTTTGGGAGAGCTTTTAGAACTATCGGCACAATTTAACACCAATAGTTAACTTATACGTTCTTTGTAATAGAACTTAAGGTAATATAATAATAAATAAAGTCGATTATAGTAATAACCTAAACACGTGAGATTACGTAATTGATCCGAGATCGGGGCACTTAATTATATCTACCGGTAATTGATCAGGTAATCAATTTAAAAGTTTAAATCAGTTTATAAAATAAATGACGTTTCACGGACATCAATGTCCGTAAGGTGGATGACGTAAGCAATATAACAAAGGGTGATAATAAAATGTATAATATGATCGTGAAGAACCTTCACGGTTAAAATAAGGAAAATAAAAATATAAAATAAATACAACAATACAACGGTAACTTATATAACATCAATTCGAGAAATCAATTCTTAATACTCCTATATTAAAGACAATGAAATCTAAAGCTTTATTCGAAGAGCGAAAAGACAGCTCTTTTATACTTTCGAAATACATAGAAAGCTTACAACAAGAAACTAAGTACATCTCTATCCCTTGGTCCATGTCTGTTCTTTGTTTTCTCTAATTCCGAGCTTAGCCCGTCCAGACCTAAACCTTCCAAGCCAGGTCCTTGGTTATCGTTCCAAATCCTTCATTTAACCTCCCTTTACTTTCTATTCTGGAACTTATCTAAGCTTTAGTACATGTCTAATCCTTACGCCATACAATAACAAACAAATAAAAGAAATCTACAGATATAAAAATAAACAGAAATGACGAATAAATAAATATTTGTACAGATCTAAACTTCTAAGCATTCGCCTCTGATTCAGCCTCATAATACACATTCTCGTTATTACCAGTCACGGCTTTTCTTCGAAAAAAGCGTGACACTATATTCGATAATACGATTAACGATAGTCACGGGGACAAAAATACTAATACAACGAACAATTTGCAACAAGAGGGTATATCGGGGTCAAAGACAAACACTTCTACTCTGTATTTCAAAGGTTTTCTTGGATCTTATTTAATTCGAACTCAGAAGTTATTTTATTTAAGCTACGTTTCGGTCTCTTTATATACATGTTTTGTTATTACAAAATGATTTCTGATATTTCTACTCTATCTACCATATAGGGTCGATATGGTATATCTGGTCGATATACCATATCTACAAGATCTGGCATATATGGCATATATGGCATATCTGGTCTATATGGCATATATGGTATATATGGTAGGTATTATCAAGACCAATTTTGGACAAATCGACCCAAGCCACCTTAGCGTCAATTTACACTTTCACAACATACAGATATCCGTAGAACCCACATGTATTAAGCTAGAGCCTACATATTGTTATAATTAGAGCCTCATATTATATATATTGTATTATATTTAGAACCATGCAACAAAAACATACGCATAGATATGTATATATAGCATATAGCATATAGCACAGATTACATACAAAAAAGCAAATTTCTATATGTCGATATTTGAAAATTTAATTTGTTATTTGTGTTAGATAAACTGGAGGTTCCAAATTATCTACAAATAAGGTAATTAAATCCCACTTGCCCGAGGTATCATCTGCAGGATGAATATTTCTTCCAGCTAAATTAAAGTCTTCTTTTAATTCATTATCCAAAAATATCTGATCTCTTGTATCACCTACTTGATTCTCATATCGAGTTGCTTCAATCCATTGGTTAATAATAGCAATCCATTGATTTTCTTCTTCAGTTATAGATTCATCAATAGACTCATCAACATCAATTTCCGAAAATTGAATATTTGTATTCTCTTCATCTTCAAAATTGCTAACACTAATATTTTCATTTGGCTCTATTTCATTTTCTTCGGAATCATATAAAATAGGTGTTGCAATATGCGAATTTTGTATTTGCTGATTATTTGTTTTTTGATTGTTACGATTGAATAAAATATTACTGCGTATTTGGCTCATTGTCAATACCTTTTCAGACTATATAATAAAAAAAATTAATTATTAGTATGTACGTATATAGCATTATAATTATTTAGTAATTACATAAATCAAAATTTATATATACAGATAATCTATTCCATTTAGTTGTATGTAAAAATCCCATAGAAGACCAAAGTCTTTCAACTGATGCAGAGTTTATACATATTCCAGATATGCATAGCTAATTTAGCTAATTCAGGACCAGTACCCATTGTAGACTCCTAAAAATCAAGTAGATTGCCTTGAAATTACTGAAACGATGTATTATCATAAGGATCTTCTTCTCGTTTATATTTAATCATCTCTCTAAGAATTGATTGTAACGGTTTATTAAAAAATGCCTGAAAATAATACTTTAACCATTGACCAATATGTGTCCAAGTAAGATTCATAACCAAATTATTAAATTTGGAAGTTTGTATGCTAGATGAAGAGCAATCGACAATAACAATAACGGTTGTTCCCAACATTTCTATTGATATTCTATATGATTAATCATTTTTGTTGCAAACTCCTTATCTGGATGGTTTAAAAAAATTCTGATCATGTAAGCAAAACAGTACACAACTTCATATAATCTTGCGGTATCCTTTTGTAGTTTATTAAGAAATCCACATAAAGGATAAAGCAAATTTTGTAATGAAGATAAAGTTCTCCAAAATTCCGAATCATTAATTATATCTGCTATATCATCAGGTAATTTTAATTCTTTATTATTGTGTTTTAAGCTTTTATTTGCTGGTATAGTTGGAACACCGTTAATTCGTAATACATTTGATCGATGTTCATTATATCTTGCTGAAAGAAACTGTATAAAGCATATACAGTACAAATAAATATAATAAATAAATAATATTGACTAAAATAAAATTTAAAAAAATCTTACTTTTAAAACAGCTTGGGTTTTTACAAGTAAATAGAAACAAAAATAGTAAAAGCACCAGCAAGTATCTCCGGGAGATACTAATGAAATATTTTTTTTATAAATTCTTGTTTGCTCTTCTCGTAAAATACCCATAAAATATATAGAACTATGGAAAAATCCAACAATCTATATGGCATCTTTTGATATACGCTTAAATAATTCACATTCCTTGAATATATCTCCAAAAACTAAATTCATCTGATGAGCCATATAGGGAAGAAATATTTTATTAGGATATTTTCGTTGAAGTTGACGTCTAAAATAAAAAAAAATTATTATTTTAGGATTATTAAAAAAATATGTATACAATAACTCTAATATGACAAATTTTTTGTATATATAATGAAACTAAGTCATGATACAGTTAAAGCTCAAGGTAACAAATTTCTCTATAATGAATATTTGAATATAACAAAATTTTTTATATGACAAATATGTGTTTGAATATATAAATTTGCTTTCTAATATCTGAAGATTTCTATATATCAAAAGCATTTGATCAGTTCTTGAACTTCATTATATCAAGCTTTAACTATACAATAGACTAAAGTTTAGATTATAATAAATTCTACTTAATGTAATAGGTTTACAATATTAATAAGCATAATATTGCAAATTTTTTTTCCATATATTGTATATGTAAATAATTTGTCTTTTAATCAGTTGATATAACTTTAAATCTACAGTCAACATTCGAGATAACAAACTTTTGCATAGCGAATATTTTGAGCGAAAGCATTTAAAAGGAAATACATTATAATAATTATTAAAATTTTACTTAGCTGCTTCATATTCTCTAGCAGAGTCTGAAACAAAAGCCTTAATTATTATTTTTTTGTTTTGAGCTTCAGTCATTAAGTTTTCTATATGTCGAATTACATCTTCTGTACATGATTTTTGTGCACTAATTTCTTCTGCTTTCCAAACTAAAGGCTGTCCTTGTGAAGTAATAAAAACTACACCCCAGATACGTTCATGTTTCACATTAATCTAACTATCAAATGTTGCGGTAATACCATTTATATCATTTTGCACGATTTTTAAAATTTCATCCTGCAGATTTTTTGATGCTTTATTCAAAATTTGTCTACATAACTTTTTACAATCTGGCAGTTTGAGACCAGGCAAAATAAAGTTAAATAGTGCTTTGGTTTCTTCATTTTCAATAAAAGAAAATGGAAGACCATTAGAAATACACATTCTAAGCACTAAATTTTCCAAATAAGGTATGTCTTTGCTCGATATTGAACGATGAAACTCTGTATTGTTAGAATTAGTGCTTGAATTTTTTTGGCGCTTAGAAGATAAATTATTATGTTTATCTTTTAATTTAAAAAAAATAATTATTATTAATAGTTATGAATAACTGTTGATTATTATTTAAATTTTTTACCTTTATTTAAAACTTTTCATTTATCTTCAGCCACAGGTTGTGCCAATATTTCAGCAACTTCACTTTCAGTAAATGTTGTTTTAAAATTCTCACATTTAGCCAAATGAACTCTACATAAATTAGCTTTATTTGATGTAAAACATCCAGGTTTTATTGCTGCTTCTTGAATTCTGCCATTTTTAAGTGTACAACAATTATATACTGCTCTTGCATTTGTTTTATTAGTTGGATTATTAACCAATGTAAAATATTCTCGAAAATTATGTAGTTTAGGCATATTCATTAGTAGGTATAATGAACGTAACCAAGATATTTATATAAGTTTATTAAATTTGAGTCTAATATTAGACTCAAACTATCAAATTATTATTTTGGTAGATTAAAATATTTGGTATTTCTTACATCATTTAATAAATAATTTACTTGCAAACCCCCAAATATTTTTCGATTTGTTTTATTTTCAAAAAGTAATAGTAGAGTTTTTTTTATTATTACATTAAAAAATTCTGTATTAATACTGGTATAAATATATTTAATAGTAATACGACTTTCAATTACAGGAACTTTACTTTTAACTTCTTTTATAAATTAATTATTTTATTGATATTAAATTAATTAATTCAAATAAATTATATTACTGTGATCTGATTTATTTAATTAACTCCTGATTCGGATTTTTGTTTTGTCACTCTTTTGATAACTAAATTACTATGAAGAACACATACAGGTTTTTACCTTTTCGCTATCAATCAATCTATGCAGTTGTATATAGAATCGTGCAAAATGCACACTCTCTCTATTTACTTTAGATATTCAAGTCTGTCAAATCCCTCCATCTTCTCTTATCCATGACTGCTATCCCAGCAGAACACACAAAGTCAGGTTCGCAGAAAAGACAAAATTGACTATATACAATCAATTTCTCCTTGCTTATTAATATGTTATGATCATTAAACATTGACTTACATCAATCAAACATTAATCAATGATCGCATTACTAATTACCTCATACTTTCATTTGATCAAATGTTCGATCATTGACTGATTCGAGACAAAAGCTGCCTCGATACATACCGTATTATCGTGAAATAACGCGCAGAGGTGAAATTACAAATTTTGGCCTAAATTAAGCTTAATTCGGGCCATTATTCTAAATAACGCCCTTGCGCATTATTTCGTGACAATACAGTATGTATCGAGCAGCTTTTAAATTATTTATAACAAATCACATGCACGTTAAAGCTCGATATAGCGAAATCTGCATTCTGATCTAATGTCTTCGCTATATAGAAATATTTGGTTATCAGAATACAAAGACACAATTATGATATAAAAAAATTCGTTATTTCAAAATATTTGCTATTGTCACGATTTTCTAAGAAAATCGTGACTGGGTAATGTACAGGTAGTAACGAAGATGTGTATAAACCTTAAGTTATACGAGTATAATGGAGCTAAGTAGATGCTAAGGCTTGGGTTATTAGAAGCCTTAATATTTGTTAATTCGTCATTTTTGTTTATTTTTATATCTGAAGATTCTTGCTTGTTTATTAATGCGTAATGATTAGAAGTGAGCTAAACTTATAAAAATGTTAAAAGAAAGTAAGGCAGAGTAACTAGATAATAGAAAAGCTTAGTTAGTAGGATTGATAATAGTAAAGAAAGTATGTAAATAGTAAGATGCTTAGTGAATGTATAGTTCTAGTCAAAGTGATTTGTACAAGCCTTTCTTATTGGAATTGAAAAGATAAAAGAGCTGTCTTTTCGCTCTTCGAATAAAACTTTAGACTTCAATATCTTTAATATAGGAGTATTAAGAATTCATTTCTCAAATTGTTGTTATAAGTTTATTGTATTTATTGTTATTTCCTAACTGTGAAGGTTCTTCATGATCGTATTATACATTTTATTATTACCCTTTGTTTTATTAAGTATATTGTATACATTATCCACCTTGAGGATATGAAACATGTCATTTATATTACAAACTGAGTTTGAGCTTGTTAAATTAATTACCTGATTGATTACTGGTAAATATAATTAAGTGCCTCGATCGAATTAATTACGTAATACCACATGCACAAGTTATTAAAGAAAATATAAATTAACTATTAGAGCTAGATTGTGCCGATATTGTAAAAGCTCTTCCAAACAATAGTAACATTATACAAAAATTCATTATTTTGAGCATATACAAGCAACTAATGATCGATAAGCAGCTTTGCTTTAGTAAATACTCATCCAAGCTCACTATTGAAGCTAAATTAAAAATTATATCAATAGAGCTTTTAATATTATGCATTGAATAGTTAATTGGTATAAAAAATTGTGAATACTAAGAGTCAATTTGGTTACAATCTATTATAAAATTTTATTATACAATTAGTATTAATAACCCTTAAAAAGGTTTTATACAGTTGATATTTTTGGTATAAGTAATAAACAATAGATTTTAACCTAGTAATACAAAGATATTTTTTTACTAAAGATGTAGGATACAACTTGGGTAATTATTTATTTTGGGTTTTACTTACTATAAACTGCAAACTTGTATACCCCCATATATCCTATGATTTGTACCTGGGGCTATTTGAAAGCAAAAATTTCTCTTATACACTGGTAGTATACAAATTATACTCCAAAAAACAGTGTTCTATTTCT